CTCCCCTGGAAAAACAAATGATGTATTGAGATTGCATAGATAAAGAAGTTCAAAACCACAGCTGTTTGAAAAGGAAGGGTTTTTTATAAGTATGTTTTTTTTTTTTTTTTTTTTTTGCTCTGTAGAAAAGAGATAGAGCTGTATGTAATATTTTATATCTTTCAGGATCACACCTTAAAAATGTGTTGTGGGCACAGTTTGAATTTGTTCTCCTGCTGTACTCCATTCACTGTTCCACACCTTTTCCTGCCACATTACTATTTTTGCACCTTAGCTGTGCTCATCCAGTTAGGACTTCCTTCTTAGCTGGGAGACCATCTTCAGCCACAAAATTTCACCAATGATAAAGGTCCATTCAACATTTACCTGACAAGGGGCCATTTTTACTTTAGGCCCTGCCCTTTTCTCACTGATAAGGTAAAATAGACATGGTGCTATAATGATCAAATAAACAATTTCCTCCCTAGGTTTAATCATAATGACTATCTGATTTAACCCTTTTGGACCTGAAAGAAAAAGGAATTTGGTATAGTTCAGAATTCCTCATGGTGTCTTAGCTTGGACCCTGGAGCAAATCCAGTGGAACCTGAGCCCTTGCCTTGTCTAGGTGGTTTACTGCTGGAGGATGTCCAGCAAATTACTTCATGTCTTTGAGCCACAGCCTCTGCATTCATAAGAAAGAGAGTAACTACTTTGATCTTTTGCTAAGTCTACATGTAATTAACATTTTCAAAGGGTAAAGTGACAGACTGATGATAATAATTAATTTGCATTATTTTTCATTACTTATTAGCCTAATTAAAATATATCAAGCTCCATAAGGATTGGGGCTAACAGTGGGAACATTTAGATAATGTCAGAGGTGCATGTCCAACATACAGTGTGAGGTTTGTGTCATTGTGCTGTCTTATTCTTTTGGTTCTCTATCACTATATTTAAAAAATCAAAACCTTATTGGACTGCTTTCTGATAGGTATCATGTGAAATTTTAATTTTGCTATTTATAGTAATAGAGAAAAAAGAACTGGGATAAGTATAAGATAGATCTATAACCATTGAAATAAATGTATAGAATTTCATTTTAAACTCTCCAAGCCTACTTTTTAAAAATCACTGATTATGATATATGCAACTATTGGCATGAAAGATTTATTAAAATCTTGACATCTGGTCAAGAATTGTAGAGTAGACAGAATTTTAGTGTATTCAATTTAATTTTTCTTTGGGAGGAGACTCTAGCAGAAATTAAAATTCACAGAATAGTTCCTTGACCTTGAATTGTTCATCCATAGCCTTCAGGGGGTCTTGGAACCAACTAAAGTTGTGTAGAACAGTGTAACAAACTACATGTATTTTTTTCTGGGGGGGGAGTTTAGTAATCCTCATAAGAGTCTTAAAGGGATTCTCATCCTATGAAAGATTAAGAAACAGTTATATGACATTAATATCTCATTTTAGGAAAATACATACAAAATATGTTTCGTATACCCGTTCAATTGTTAAAATCATCCATGTGTCATCTCAAAGGCCTAGAAAATTAAAAATGTAAAAACTCAAGCAAAATTACAAAATAAAACTTATTTTTTGGCTTTTAGAATATACTTATTGAAGAATATATGACTTTTAGATATTGCTTCTCCAATTTACTTATGATCCTGAAGTCGTTCCCTACCTTCTCCCTTTCTTTTCTATTCTGGCTGTTGTGTTAACCTTCCTGTTTTTCCAGGATGACTAAAAATATTGGGGATGATGGAGGTGGTGACGAAAACACTTTCAACTTTAGCTGGAAGGTGTTCTGCAGCTGGGACTATCTGATTGGCAACCCGGAAACAGCTGACAATAAGTTTAATTCCATCACGATGAACTTTAAGGTAGAGATACAAACTTCAAAAGCCTGTCCTTATATTTCTAAGAGTAATGTTGGAGGCATTCCATATGGTCTAGTTAGTGAAGCATTTTGATAATTAGAAGAAAGATGAACTCATCATTCTGCCTATAAGGATCTGGGCACAGTTCCGATTATGACTGAGAAATAATACCCATGATCCACAAAAGCATTTTTTCCCTTGAGTACATTTCTTCTCTAAATTTGGTAATAAACTAATGGTACTGTACTTGATTGAAACAGGAGAACATCAGTAATCAGAATCAGAGAGTTTAAATAATAGAAAAATGCTCACTAATACAGGCATAAATTTAATATTTAAAATTGCAGCTTTACTTTGTAGCTTTAAAAATTGTATGGGAGAGAGTAAAATGAAGACTATCTTAGTCTTTTAGAGTTTGTTTTTGAGAATTTACCCTTTCACTCATGAGGGACAGTATTCACCTGATTTGTAGAATTCTAGATTGAGTTTATATTTTTGTTTTTCATATTCCCGAGTTCCTGATAGATTTTGTTGCTAAGATCTCTGCTGGGTTTTGATTTGCTTGGCTATAGGAAGCTATCATTGAAGAAAGAGCAGCTCAAGTAGAAGAAAACGTCCACTTGATCAGATTCCTGAGGTTTCTTGCCAACTTCTTCGTGTTTCTAACACTTGGAGCAAGTGGATACCTCATCTTTTGGGCTGTGAAGCGATCCCAAGAATTTGCGCAACAAGATCCTGACACCCTTGGGTGGTGGGAAAAGAATGAAGTTCGTCTCTGCATGCTTTTTATGTGCTTAGAAGCTTCTATTTGCTGTTTTGTGGGTTAGGTTTATATGATGGGACCCTTAACAAGGCCACTCTTTACCTGTTCCCTCACCTTGGCCTCGTGACTAACCAACTTTGTTGCACATATTCCACCATATTCCTTTCTTATTCCCAAATCTGTACTGTCTTTCATTTTGTATCATCATGGAATGTTAGAATCAGGGCAGATATTGGAAATCATATAATCCAACCATTACTTTTTATTTTTAACAGACGAAATGATGAATTAAAAGAGATTGGTGATAGGTTTATGTTCAAAGAGTTAGGAGAAGAGTTAGGGTGAGAGCCCAGGAGCATTGATTTGAAATCTAAGACTATTTGAGCTTGTTTTGTTTTCCCTGAAGATCTTGCATGTGTCACTGAAAGATCCAGTTTCTGAATTCTTTGAAACAGCTATGATAAAGCCCTTGGCACCTATACTTATTTCACTATAAGCTTAAAGACTTCTTCCTAGCTTTTGGTTTTCTTCTCTTTTTCATGAGAAGCCTAGTTGGACATCTTCAAACTCTTTCTCCCAGTGCCTTACTTGCTCTGCTATTCAGAGGTTGAAGGCCAGCTGCTGGCCATGTTTACCTTCACAGTGTAGAGAAATGTTACAGGGAGACACTTAGGATTAGGAAATCATTGATCATGAATTGTCTCAAGGAGCTAGTTGAAAATGTGGCATTATTTTGAACTTGGACATTTTCAAAGTACATGCATATTTAGTTGCAATTAATGCAGATTTTCCATGCAAAACTTCTGTAAATCCTTGTAGAAAAAAAAAGACAAATCTTCATAAGGACAGAATTTCTTATACAACAAATGAGATAGTCTACTTACAAAAAAGGTTGCAAATAAAAACTTTCTGGTTATTTCAGAATTGGGAACAGTAGAGATGGGAAAACCATACAGTTAAGAGACCATACTGTAATTTCATAGACATTTCATGGAAGCTTGTAAAATAGAAGTCATTAGGTAGAGGGATTTTTTTCATAAAAGCAAAGGAATACCTTAAAGCATGTACTAAGTTTGCTTTTAAAGTTATCTTTTATAATTCTAATAGTAAATATAGGCAAAATGAACATACAGCTTTGGTTCTTCATTCATATTAATCACTTTTGTTTAAATAAGCCATATTAAAGATGAGTGACTGATTTTTATTAAAGGGTCATTCTTTGTAAGAATCTGTTTAACCTCTATTTTAGTGAATCCCTGAGTCATAGAAGTCAGTGAAGGTAATAATGAGGATTCATGAATAACTTTACCTCATAAAGTCAAATAAATTTAACTTTACCTCATATACAATTTCACAGGATCTGCTAGTTTTCTGTGTTAGGTTGAAATTATGCTATACTGATTTTATAGTATTTCATGCTGAGTTTGTATCTTATTGATCATGCTGATACAATGTTCTTAATAAAAATGGAGAAACATATTATCAGTTATTTTCTAAATATAGTCTTGTAGTTATAATCAATCAAAACATGGTGTCAGGAAAGGAAAATAGGAAATGTTTACTAGTGACAAGTTGAGTCAGGTATTTGAGAAAGACACAAAAGTTAACCAAAATATTTTTTTCTCATGATAAAAATAGTTCATGTTCTGGATTCTCATCTTTGATTTATTTAACCTAGTAATATAATCATAAGGGTGCCAAATAGGAGAGAAGAACAACACATTTTCTCCCTTTCATATTTTCACTTCTCTCTCTCTCTTGCTGTCTCTCTGTCTCTCTTTTGTGTCCCTCCTCCCCACTTTTTCCCCTTTTATATCATTTATTCTCCTGACTATGGCATTATAGGCCAGTTTTAACTTTCATACCTAGGCTTCCACAACATTATTTAATATATTCTCTATTTGTTTTTCAGAATGTTTTGTTTTCTTTTGGTAAAATTCATTCCTTTTAAAAAATCTCTATAAGTATGCATTCTACAAGACTCAGTATTTAGTCTGAAGTTAATCTCAGGGAGTTCATCCATTCTAACTGATTCAACTACTGATATATTGATGATAGTAAAATTAGTATTCCCAGTTGCAACCTCATCTTCAAGGAGATAATTTTCCACTTCCTTTGAAACTCTTATAGTGAAATGCAATGCTACATCAAAATCAGTACCACATAGAACATTATGTGTTCTCTGGAAACAAATCGCCATTACTAGTAGCTATACAACTCAGATACATATATAATTTGTGAAGTGAATGTGAGTTGAATATTTTCTTTGTTGTTTTATTGAGACTAAATTCTAAAAAAATGCATGAAATAATTTTCTTTAGCTTTATACAAAATCAATGGAATAAGACTTAATAAAAGTCTTCCAGAATTCTGGAGGAAAGTAATAAATTTTAAACACCATTAACCTGATTGATCCCTTGTGTTTCTTTGCAGATGAACATGGTTATGTCCCTGCTGGGGATGTTCTGTCCAACACTGTTTGACTTATTTGCTGAATTGGAAGACTACCATCCTCTCATCGCTCTGAAATGGCTGCTAGGACGCATTTTTGCTCTTCTTTTAGGCAACTTGTATGTATTTATTCTTGCCTTGATGGATGAGATTAACAACAAGGTAAGCCTGGTGTCTGGATTGTCTTTACCATCAGTATGCTATTAAATTCTGTCTCAAGATGCCAGAAATACCTTTGAAAACAGTGTGGACTTAGTTTTGTTTCTATACCTTTGCTCTCTAGATTGAAGAGGAGAAGCTTGTGAAGGCCAATATAACCCTGTGGGAAGCCAACATGATCAAAGCCTACAATGCATCCCTCTCTGAGAATACCACTGGGCCACCCTTTTTTGTTCATCCTGCAGATGTTCCTCGAGGACCTTGCTGGGAAACAATGGTGGGACAGGTAATGAGTACAGAAATCAGTCAATTGAAAAAAAAGCAGTCAGTATTTCTTCCAAACGTGTTTCCTATTTTTGCTTATTAATAGAAATAGCTCAGATCTATTGAATATTGTTTGCTGACTCTGAATTTCATATGCATTATCTCATTCAGTCCTCACATACATCCCTTGAGAAAAATACTTCTTGTAGGCTCATTTTTACACTTGGATATAAACACACTGATGTGAGAATTGTACTCTCCACTTAGGTTCTTATAAAGCACCCTGATTTAAATGCAGGTTCAAATTAGCATTTAAATGGAATTCTATGTAGTGTTACTTGTTTGCCTTAAAAACAGAACAACACAAAAATAGGATCTTTGGAGATCACACACTAATACTAGTTTTAGTAATGTCAATTTTTGTCAAACAAATTTTCCTTAAGATTTAGAGGAAATGTTGCTATAAGTTATTTGTTTTCATAATGAATATGTAAGTGACACCAGTCTAAGACAAATGATATTTTACCAGAGAAAAGAAATAATGTTGGACATGTCTTTTTGTCCAATAAGGGAAACCAAACCAAATAAATTCAAACAAAAACAACAAAAATATTCATGTCAGGATCTCTTATTTCTGTACAGATCCAATTTATATTTTGAAAAGCCTATATTATATCTCATTAGAATTTACATCCTTAATGTGCATGTGTTAATCTCGTTTGGGACTTCAGCTCATCATTGAGAATAGCAATTTTAAAATACAGTGCTTGTTTCTGTTAGACAACAGTTCAGCAGTAATGCCTTTGAGAAATTATTTGAATTTTTTTTGCTGTGTGTTCTTTTAAATAAACCAAAATTGAACAATCAATATTAGTCTTATTAAACTAATATAATTTAAGGAAATATAAGCAGGGATGGATATCTTCAGTCTCAATCAGATGCTCATTGGATTTAAGCCAATCAATTATGATTTCAGTTATAGGAAAAAATAAAGCAAATGTATATAATGACAAACACAATTGAAGGCAAACTACAAAATATGGTATAGTTAAAGATTGTATTTTGCTTTATTTGTAAGCTTTCAGGGCCCAGATAAGCCCCTCTTTCTTACTTTTGTGTTATTAAGTGTTCGATGTTCAGATATGCATATTTCATACATGCTCATAGGAGCAAATTAAATATGAAATAATACGTGAAATAAAAATTGTATTCACTTAGAAGAGAGATACTTATGGTCTAGGTTATGGTAGACAGAATAATGGCCCCCAAATCATCCATATCCTAATCCCAGGAACCGTGAATATGTTATCTTACATGGCAAAATAAGCTTTGCAGTGTCCAGTGTGTGACCATGGATGTGCAGAGGATCAAGAGGATTACTCAGGGATGAGATTCAGTTCAATCACTGAGAACTCAGAGGGACATAAGAGAACCTCAGGGAAACAGCAACCAACCGAGATCTGTGTGGTTATTTATTTGTAACTCAACGACACGAGAACAAAGACGTAGGAGAAAAGCATTTTGCAACATATTGTATAGGAGTTTTTGTCAGGGAACAGGGCAAGAATGGGATGGTTTGTTACGTGACTCATGTGGACCTAATTTAGGCAATCTCATCCGGGCAGAGGGCACACAGTGGCCAAAACAAATACCTCTGACCGTAATGTGCTCTTAACCCTCCTGACTGTGGTCCTGCAGATTGTGCTCTCAGCTCTAACCATGCATTCCAGAAGCATGGGAACTGTTGTTGCCCAAGGTCCCTTCCTAAGTGGACTCAGGTTCAATCACTTCCTTGGCCAGCATCTCCCCACACAGATGTGATTAAGTTAAGGATCTTGAATTAGAAGAATTACCCCGAATCCTGTGAGTGGGCCTAAGGAAATCACAAAGTTCTTTATAAGTGGGTGTAAAAGGCTCAAAGCCAGAAAATTGAGATATGACAGCAAAAGCAGAGGTGAAGTGATGAGCTTTAAAGACAGAGGAAGGGGCCATCAGCTAAGCAAGGAATGTAGGATGCCTCTAGGAGTTAGGAAAAGCATAGAAACAGATTCTCCCCCATGTGTACACTTTTTGACTTTAAACTTCTGACTTCCAGAGCGGTATGTAAGAAAAGGCATTTTAATTGTTTCGAGTTATACTAAATTTGTTATAGAAGCAATTAGAAATGAATATTCATGGATCTACAAGTTTCCATGTTTCAAGGCTATTTGTAGTGAAATATGGTCTTGATTTTTTTTTATTAAGTTCTTTTATTGATATATTTTAGGTATACAAGTCGTTTACATTTATCATTGGGTGTTTGTACCTGTACATGATGTATCTTGGTTCTTATTTTTTTGCCATTACCTGTGTACCCTTCACCCTGGTCTTGATGTTTAACATGAATCTGTTTTATCCATCTAAACTTCCACTTAAATCTTCCACACAAGTTTCAAGAGATGAAAACATCAGAAAATAGAGTTTTCGCAAACTCAGAGTTTGAGATGTTTTCTTCTATTCATCCTGAAGAGCAGGCTGAAAGGTGGGCTACGAAACCTACTTGTTAGTAAGCAAACACCCTTTGTACAAGGTTAATAGGATTAACAGTGGAGGATAGAATCTGGGCTGGCCACCTCTGTGGAGAGGAGGATGAATTTAATACAAGTTATCACTCTAGGGGAATGTTTATGTTAAACTTCTGTGATTCCCATGATATTGACTTAAAATAAAAGAAATGATAGTTACTTATTTCTTCTTGGAAGCCCTTGGACTATGCTGCTTGTCTTTTTTGTCTTTTTAATGCTGTTCATCGTGATTTTCCTTGCTTTACCCTCTTTCCTTACTGCTATTTGTATTTGGAGTTCTGTGATAGCCAACCCGACTCCATCTTGTGCCTCAGTGCCATTTTGTACTTGTGCTTGGACAAAGTACTTGTGCTTGAACAAAACACCCCAAACCCCCACATCCTGGTTGGCAGAAAACCTGCTGCAGTTGCAGGATGTTTTGTAGCTCACCTAGTGTGTGAAACGTCCTTGTGTCCCCCACACTCACCTGCCGTGGTTCTGCTTCTGTAAGATTCTTCTTGCTTTCCCCTGAGCCCTTCCCAATTGAAAGGACGATTTAAAAGGAGAAATCAAACCACCCCCTGATGCCGAGAGAACTTTCCAGGCACTGCCCTCTCCCACTTCTCGAGCTGCCAGCTTTAATAAAAGGACTCAAATCTAGCGCAGAGTGGGACATCTCCATTGTTCTAACTTGCTCGTCGATAACAGTTCCTTCTTTTCTTTCATGTTCTTTCTCCCAAGGAGCATTAAGCACTTGTAGCAAAAGTCTGGAGAGCTAGCAGGTGGAAGAAGTAGCAGCTCTGAGTAGAGTGCTGGCGAGGCAGGAGGAACCCATGGGAATGAATGGGGACATGCTGGACGTAACAACTTTTAGTGGTGGTGAGGTAGACGTGCTGCACATAACAACTTCTAATGTCCTTTAATCAATATCTATGTACCTACACCTGGAAACATTTCTATCCTTTAGTCACTTCTGAAAATGAAGAAGTAGTAAAGGCAGATGAGTGTATGTAATGTTAATGAAGCTCCGTAAAGGCTCATTCAGTGTTCTATAAGAACACTCCAGAAGTTTCCTCTTCTCCATGGATGTATTCTGCTTGGTTTCTGCAAGGATCCTGTGATACTCTAAAATCTCTTAAGTCAATATGAAAGTAATTTATCTGCTCTTTTAACTTTCCAAGTAATCATATAGTCTCATCTCCAATGGTACTTGATAAACAGTGCAGTCTTTTGGGGGGCACATTTTTTTGAAGTTATGGAGGTACTTTGGTTCATGAACTTAATTTGTTTTATGCTTTTGGGGAAGATGGCCACATTTGTATTGGTGTGGGTAAGATGGCCACAGTTGTGTTTGTCACTGGATGTGAAGTTTGTGAACAGAAGTAAAATTTCGTTCAGTACTTTTGTTTGGGAACCAAATTGTTTATGAACAGAAGCGTTCATGAACTGAGGCACTACTGTGTATTTAGTGAGGTCTACATTTTGGAGAAGGAGAAAAAGAAGCCAAAAGCTAAGGATAACAATGGTTAGGGCCAGGGATTTAGCTTAGTGGTACCGCTGCCTGTCCCGCAAGTGCAAGGACCCAAGTTCGATCCCTGGTACCAAAAACAAAAACAAAACGGAATAAAAAAACGATGGTTAGCACTTGTTGGATAATTTTAATGTGTCAAACATTACCTCATGGAATTTTTAAATTATCCTCTGAGATATGTCTTATCATTCTCATTTTATTGATGAGGAGACTGAGACTTGGAAATGTAATCTAATCAAAACCTCACAAGAAGTCAATGAGAGGAGCCAAATATAACCTATATAGTTAGGTTAAGCTTGTGTCTTTTGCTCATAGCACTGGACCAATCCCCAGAAACATAATTAGCCTCAGGACATGTCTCCAAACTCCCGGTCTGCAATATCTATGGTCTGTAGCCCTTTATGATGCCTTGCCCATTCTTTTGGCTTTGTCTGTCGGTGATTGCTTTAAGTTTATGGTTCAGAGTTGCCTAAACATTTCAAGCCAATGTCCTGAGAGTGCATTTATCAGGGGTGGAATGTGATGCTTGACAAGAAGCCCGTGTGGAGACCACGTGTCCCCTTCTGACTTGATTGTTAGGAAGTGGAAGTGGATGTCATCTCTGAGGTGGGCTGGGACCACCATTTTGGTGTTTTTTTTTTCTAGAGCAATGAGTTTCTCTCATGGTATATAAATAGATATTTAAACTTTATAGCTTTTGAGTCTTCGGTATTTTTATAAAAGTTAGATTTTTTTCTTATATTTAATTTTTATCTTGGGAGAAAATAGTATTTCAGCCATTGGGATGAGGATGCTTAGGAAGATGTGAAGGATTTCCTAACCACCTGAAATTTTCTTTTACTTTTGGAAGTCTTCCTTTTTTGGTAGTGGAAACTGAAAAATATCTCTCAGATTATCTCCAGTTCATGCTAATTATTAGGATCTGAGCTCAGAATTGATGGGGAATACAAAGGAGAATAAGAATAGAGAAAAGAACATTTATATGTCAGAATAACTTCAGAAATCTACTATCACTCATTCATTTATTTCTTACTTACTGAATGAGTACTAACTATGAGGCACTATGGTAGATACTAGAGATACAAAAGGAAAGAAAGATGGGCCAATTTTCTGCTGGTTCTGTTGTTTTGACTGAAGTTTGCAGACTAAGATCTTTCCTGGCCTGTTGTCCCCTATAGGTGAATGTCCCCTAAGGTGCAGTTTCTAACTGCAAATAGCTGGAGTTCTCATGTTTGTTTAAACTACATACAAGAAATGCAGGCTGGCTATACTCATTGGAATGTCTGCTTATCTGCAGTACTGATTTTCAGAGTGTATCTACATCAAGCTTCTATAGTGAATGGCAGTTTGGCATAGAAAGTACACAAAATTATTACACAAAAAATGTAAATATACAGTGGCAGTAAAACACTATAAGGATAAAATGTATGGAGCTCATTATAGAGCGCTTGCAGGGAGATAAGGAAGATTTTACTAAGTTGGTAATGCTGTAATAATGTGTATTAATTGCCACAAACTTAATCAAGAGGAGAATTAAAAATGAATGGTAAAGTGAAAACCATATGCAAAACCATATGCAAAGATCCTGTGGTCTGAAACGGTTTGGGGTTTGAGGGTTGAAAGAAGGCCAATGAGACCAGAGTGGAGAGGACCAAGGGAGGGGTGATACAGGAAGAGTACAGAGAGCTGGATGTGTGGATCTTTAGAGGGACGAAGGAGCCTAGCAGGGACAGCTTCCAGCACCCTCTTGGGGGAAGGTGGTCTTTCTTTTTCTGTGTCATTCTTCCCACTCTCCACTCTTCTTCTTTGAGATCGCTTCTCCAAATAGAGCATATGCTAATTTTGGTGGTAATTAATGCTAAAGCAAGTTTAAAAATTTACAGTAAGTTTTCCAAAAAATTTTCGTTTTTATTATGTTTATATATCTTTATAATTAACTGCTCTTTACAGCAGGTGATATACACCTTGCATTTATGGTAGTAGCGCTAATCTTTTAAAAATATAGTATAGTTAAAAGAGATACTAGATCATCGTATTTTGTGTGGGACTTTGATGTGGCAATGATCATGAAGGTGGCACAGGACAGCCTGGAGTTTAGGAGGCACAACTCTGAAGGATGAGGCTGGAAATTAACCTTGCAACTACTAATCAAGTGTTCTTTTGTCTTGTGAGATAATTCACTGGTTATTTTAGAAGGGAGGTTACTGGGAATAAAAATAAAAAACTTCTGATATTAGACAACACTAGTATTTCTGCAAAAATATGGCTTATTAGACAATTAAGTTAGAGGGTGTCACCCCAAAATTTTGGAAACACAAAAGGAACAGTAGATGTGATGAAAATTTAATATTGTATGTACATTCTTACATATAATATTTATTGTCATGTGATTTCTATGAGAAAATAGTGACTTTCCTAAGTCATAATACACAGTTTGCACATAAATGTCATGAATTTTACAGACCTCTGGTGAATGTATACGTAGGCATATCATGCACATTCATACATGTATTCTTAGGGTTTCATTAATGAGTGAGCTTGTATGGTAATACTGTGGTTCACGAATGCTTCTGTTTGCAAACAATTCAGTTTGCAAACAAAAGCATTTGACAAAATTTTCCTTCTGTTCAAAAACTCCACTTTGGGTGACAACACAACCACAGCCATCTTCTCCACACGAGCACAAATGTGGCCATCTTCCCCCAAGTCCTAAAACAAATTAAGTTTTTGAACTGAGGTACTACTGTAACACTTATCTTGTTTTGCAGAATTTTACTATGGTTTAATTTTAATTCTAAATTTCATTAATAAATGTACATAATAATTTTAAATACCCATATCCTAGAAGAGAATTTTTGTACTTTGTAAACAATTTTGTTGAGGTATGATTCATAAACCATACCTTTTATCCACTTAAAGTATACAATTCAATGCTAGATAAAAATATTAACTTTCTGTGTGGTTAATATTTCCTATTTTTGCCGGGGATTTAGCTCAGTGGTTCCACTGCCTGCTTTCCAAGTGAAAGGTCCCAAGTTCAATCCCTGGTACCAAAAAAAATAAATAAATAAAATAAATTTCCTATTTTTTATTCTCATGTCATACTTAGGTTTCTCAATAAGAAGGTTTTTGATACAGTGATTTCAGGATAGGGAATAATTATTTTTACACTAATAAAATATAGGTGAAACATTTTTATTTGCTAGATATGTCTAGTTGTTTTCTTCTTTTTCTTTAATTGCAATCTTCAAGCTAACAATTTTTTAAAACATGAGCAGTTTTATATGAAGTGGGACCTTCTGAAGACAGAAATGTGTGTTTTAATACAGATAATATCTTGACAGGAATTTGTGCGGCTGACTGTTTCTGATGTCCTGACAACCTATGTCACAATCCTCATTGGTGACTTTCTCAGGGCATGTTTTGTGAGGTTTTGCAATTATTGCTGGTGCTGGGATTTGGAATATGGATACGTAAGTATGATATTTATTTTTCTTTTATCAGACTTTTCCTTTGTGTTGCATCATTTACACACACTTTGCAGGAGGAAAGACATCTCAGAGTTTGATGGGTGAGATCACCTTTTTAGGTGTTAGATGTCAGTAAATGATAGCAAGTAAAATGAAGAGGCCAGACTTAAAAACTCATGGTTTTTAATCTTGAGGTAAAATTAACACAGGATGGCTAATGGAATGATCCTAGAGCTAGAATGTTGAACTGACTTTTCAGTTAAAATATTGAACTGAGGAATTCTTAGCCTCATAGTCAGCCCCTTCTCCATGAAGCTGGCCGATGTTTCTAGGAGCAAGGTAAAATGGCTATCAACTGCATATTTTATTAATTCCTTTGAAATCTACTGCACTACTGGATAATTACGTCAGTTACCATGCAGTAGACTGGGAATAAAAGGATTCAGCAGACATGGTGCTTGCTTAATAAAGCCCACAGCCTGGTTGGAACCTGACAGAGACACTAACGGGGGCTGTGTAGGTTTTCAGGAAGACATGATTTATGGTCAGGGCTCTGGTCAGTGGAGCTGTACTCCGGGGTTGGGGAGTGGAGTGACTTCATTTCCTGAAACAATGGCACAGATTTCTCCGGACCCCACCAGTGCTGACTCCATGGCCAGCTTTTTCTCGGTACTCAGCTTTCTGTTGCCACAAAGTTGAAGGGCAGAAGCTCAACACCCATTGTTCTATGGTCTAACACATGACTAGGATTTCACTTTCCATTTTTTTTCAAATAAAACTAGCCCCATGTATCCTGGAAAATACAACCTGGGGGATTGATAGCACTTGTGTAGTTAAAATCCTCATGTGGCCTCATAAGCCACAAGAATGAATTCCAAGTCCCTTCTCAGGGCCTTCAGCGTCCTGTATGATCTGTTTCATTTCTTTCTCTCTGAGCTCACCTGTTACCACTGTTACTCTTGTTTTGTAAAGTCCACAAACATAGCCTTCTGCTTTACATTCAAACAAAAGATAGTCCTGGCCTTTGCACCTGGCTGTTTTTCCCTCGAGGGGCACTGCTACCCTAGACTTTGGCAAGGGTGATTCTTCCTTGTCATGAAGGACTCAGTTACTAGTTACCCCTCAGAGTGTTTCTCTGATCATCCAATCTAACATAACCTATCAGGCACTCTACACATCAACATAATGCTTTATTTTATTTTGACATGTCCTTTAAAAATGTGCTTATTATCTGTCTTTTTCTTTTAGAATAAAAGCTGTATGAAAACAGGAGCCCTGACCTGTGCACCACGATAGTAATATGGCGGGTGGCTGAGGGGATTGTGGACCCTCCACATATTGGAGGCAGCACTGGCTGTTGATAGCACTGTGTCTACTTCCAGGGATGTGCTCAGGAAGTCAAGTTCAGCTTAGTGCTCCAGAGCCAGTGATGTTTCTGTCTACACCAGTGAAGGAATATTTGACAGGTGATCTTCCTTCTATCTCATGCTCTCTATTCCCTGTCTAAGTCCTACATTCAAGATGGTTTGCAGAGAGTTTCTGGCTCTCCGGCCATCTACCTTTGAGGTAATGCCTTTTATTAAGTCATCCCTGTCACCTTCACTGAAAATGCCTCATCCCCAGAGAAGCCAGGAGCAGTTAGGTAACGCTCTTCAGTGAGCAACAGTGAGGCCATGCTATAGATCCAAGATGCTGTGTTGTATTGCTTTCTCATTTGTTGCTATGAGGTATTCAGTTGGCTTGGTTTCGTTTCTGTTTTTCTTGCCTGATTCAGCTCTTCTGAGACAGACATAAAAATTGCCATTTCTTTCTTAGACCATTGTTTGGCTTTTGTTTGCCCTTTATCATTTACTGCTTTGTTTTTAAGTGGTAGAAAATTTGAATGCAAGTACGAAGTCAATATAACATGCCCTGGGTGCATAAAAGCTGTAATTAGATGACTATAATTCATTATTTATTGAGTGCTGACAGAACTCTTGAGTTAGTACAAAGTACAGGAGGCAAGTTTCTCTTTTAGGTGGTAGAGAAATGTAATTTTTTCTTATGTTACCTTTGAGGGTCTTTGGAGAAAAGCTCCAGTGATTTAGGATAAACCTCTGCTTCATCTACCAAGACAGTTCAGCTCATGGGGCTCTACACTTCAACTCTAGTTGAGAGTAGGATTCTGTTAGTGTTCAATGGATTCTATCCACATATTTGAGTGGAACTTCAGATAGAGTCCTTCATGTTCCCGTTCCCATTCCCATGCCCTCTCTCCTCCTCCATGGGATGCTTGTGACTTTTTACTGACTCTTTACCAGGCTATCTTCCTGGCTGTTACTTAAAACCTCCACATCCTCAACCAGGGAACATCATCTGAGCAAGATGAGTAAACTTGAGGGTCAGGAAAAATACAGATTTCTGCTTTAGTAGCACTGGGATAAGGCCTAAGAAATAACTTTTCTTACAAGTTCCCTGGTGTTGCTGCTGACTCTGCTCTGGAGACCACACTTGAGAACCACTGCTCTGGAGCCACAGCCCAGGAAAGCCTGCAGCTAGAAGTGGAGTGATTCCAGCTATGGGAATTTGGGTTTGTGTAAAAAAAGCTGAGGCAGACCATTGCGAAGAGAGCTAATTCTCTCTGAGATCTTTAATTGCAGTTCACCATATCCACAGGTTGGGAATCTGCTCAAAATAACTGAGCTCTCAGGCAAACAATGGGTCTTCCCAGGCTCTTCGGTCCATTGAGTGCCATATGTCTTCCCTCTGGGTAGATGACTGACTACTGCCCACCACAAACAGAGGTCTCAAAATAACACAAGATCATTTCCGATCCTGTGGCTATTATGGTCCCCTGCCTAAATCCAAGTGGTTCTTCTGTTGCGGACTTCCAACAATGTTGCTAAGGTGAGGGGCCAGTAGTAAGTTTATTGTACTTCTTCATTGAATAGTTCATTACTCTATCTTCAAGAAAGCTCGTTTACTTCTCCCCAAGTATCATTTCCTTTTAAGTTTTTTTTCTATTTTAGAGGCAATTGAACTAATAGAGTATAAATTATATTTACTGTGATATTATTTTAATATTTTAAAATATAATCTCTTGTTTTTATAACAGTGTATCTCTAAAAGAATGAACATTGAATGTCATGTATATCTATGTAATTTTTTGCCTTCTCATGTATATTTTGTTATAGAATGGAATTTTCTGTGTTTATTGCATAAAGTAATAAATTTCATTTCTAATGTTTGTACAAGAAGGAATTATTTAATAAGAATTATTAATTTTAAATCAATAATAGTTTAGATTAGAAAGGGATCTGTAAAATTATCTAGTTCAGGAGCTGGTGAAACTTTTTTGTACAGGGCTGGATAGTATTTTAGCTTTTGCAAGCCATGTGATCTTTGTCACAGCCAATAAACTTGTTTTAACCCAGAACAGTCATAGAAAATATAGCTGTATTCCAGTAAAAATGTATTTACATAAACAGATGGAAGTCCAGATAGGCTCATGGGCCATAGTGTGCCAATTCCTGACGTAGTCCATTTCATTAATTTATCCACCGAGCAAGATCAGCCCTGAAGAGATCATAGTTTGGCCTGCCTCACCTAGCTGGAAAATGGTGGGGCAAAGTTTAATACTTGTGAGTTAATTGTATCACAAGGACACTTGCTACTATGATGCAGCTGTATTTTTTGGAATCAGGTCAATTTAGACCTGATAGTTTTCTTCCTCCAGCCACTCCCGCTGCAAACACAGTGTGAGGCCAGGGGTTCCTAATGTGTCCTTGGTGCTTTTTTAGTCAAGTAGTTATGAGATATGTCATCTCAAATGACCTTCGTCAAGTTTATATGCTTGTGAAAGAGCAAAGAAAATAAATATCCAAAAGATTAAGTTTTCCCTACAATCTGTGGTTTGTGGGGCTAAAGCATGACACCATTCTTAAGAGGCCAAGGTTGAAGATTTGATTCTTGAACTGAGACAGAGAAAAGCAGCTATAAGCCCCACAACTAACAAACCCCCAACTAAGCCTTTTTCAGATGTGTTCACACAGAGATCCAGGACAGAAGTTTAGATGATCCAGAGCAAAGTGTTCACCCAAATGTAGAAAGACTCAGTTCAAGTTTTTCACTTAAAAGTAATTCATTTTTCTCTGCGGACACATTTTTTTTCACTGTTTATTTTAGAACAAAAACTATCAACCAAATCTTTGTGCATCCTGTAAACATTATGCTTTGAGAAAATCTGCAAATTTGACTGCACATTTTGTATATAATTTTTTAACAGTATCTTAAAAGAATTTATGTCAAAATTATCCATATCATTTTGTCCTATTTAATTTTCATGGCTATTTGCCATTTCATAATGTATCATCATTTGATCTTGAGATTTACATTACGCTTGTTATGCTCTACTTGCTGTTTACTCTCTGAATCCACGGTGTATTATCCACATCTTTCAGCTGAATAGGAAAAGTACTTCTGCTGTTGCAGAAAGTGATGGAATTGAAGCTTGGATTCATAAAACTTTTAAGGCAAAGCAATTGAAAGTTGGGGACAGTTTTGTTGGACTCCAAATCAGAGAGATCCATTCTCTCTTCTTACAAATATATTTTTGCTTTCTTGGGTTTGGGGAAAACAGAGACTATTTTAGGTCAGCTTATTTGGGTGTGTGTGTGTGTGTGTGTTAGGGGAGGGGACTATTATGGGAATATGTGTGAGCTGAAGCCAACCTGGGCAATGCTAGGGAGCTGAAATTTTGTATTGTATGGTTTCTCTTTGGGCATCTTCTTGGCCTTTTCACTTTATATTGGCTGCTCTCTTATTCACTTGTTATCATTTAGTCTCTTCTGAATTTTCTATCTCAAATCAAATAGGAGACAGTTTTACGGCTTTTGCTAATTAACATTAACTCCATAGAGAGATGGTTTCCTGCCAGGAAGCCTAATGTGATACTAGGGAGTCTTTGGATGGGGAGCATTCACACAGGTGCCCACTTTGCTTCTATTGGCAGTTCTTCTACCTGAGGGACAGCCCGGTGTTGCCTTACTAAGCGTGACAGTATTGTTTAGGGCATGGAGATTGGGCATTGAGTTAAATGAATTCATAAACTTTTGTTATATTTCCGTTTCTATATTTAATTATAAAATTAGTCCATATTTTCATTGAAATAAATCATTAAATATACAAAACTTACAAAACAAAATAAAAACCATAGCCTAGCACTCCCATTTGCTTGTTACTTCCCAGTCTTTTTTCTATTTATAGTTTCATATAGCACTGATTACACATAATGAATGCATCATATTATATAGTTTTGTTCAACACTAGAGCATAGTTTTCACTCATGAATATAATGATTCCAAAATGACCATAATCAGATGCAATAACATATCACAGTATAGACATATTATGTTTGTTTAGCCAATATTGGATAGTTACAAGGTTACAATATTTCCTGTTAAAATTTATCAGCATTTCAGATTACTTTGTTATGACAGATTCCTAGAAGTAGACTTACAGAGTCAAAGAGAGTAAGATTTTTTAAAACTTTCATTAAGTACTATCATCAAACTTTTTCAGAAAGGTTGCTACAGTTTTTAATTTCCCCAGCAGAATATAAATGTGTCTTGCCATACTTTCACAGCCTTTTAAAATGATGTTAAAAGTTACTATGTTAAAAGTTGCTTTCTTACTATTTATTCTGTTGTTGCTGTGAAAGAAAGTAGTTGGGAGCCAAGTCATGCCTACATGTAAACACTTGCTATGTGATTCTCATCATTTGAGATGCTAATCCAATGAATACTTGTGTCTCTTCCAGCCTTCGTACACCGAATTTGACATCAGTGGCAATGTTCTCGCATTGATCTTCAACCAAGGAATGATCTGGTAGGGCAGTTGTTGGACAGTTTATCACTTATAAAAAAGCCTCCAAGGTCATTGCTACAGAAGGCATGGCAGTTTGGTGTCAGAGGAGACAGCAGTCTGTGAATTCTAACTCATTTGCCTTTGTACAGTTTTTGTTTTCATACCTTAAATCCTTGTTCCCCAAAGGATCTCCTTGTTTTACAGAGGGCACTTTCCTCAAATCATGGGAATCCTTGTTCTGGTTGCTAGATTCATTTGAAGACTATCTTTTTATATCCTTGTGACACCAGGATCTGATAAAGAATAATAACAATACCACTTGTTAAATGTGAAATAAATTAACATAAACCTTTTTTAAGAAACCAATTTTATTTTCCTGTCATTGCTAAATATATTTAAAAATACATCTGATAGTTATTTTTGAAAATATTATCTAACCAAATCCAATAGTTCTGTGGAGGGGAAACACATGTTTTGGGAAGGTTGAGTTAAAATGTGATCTCCCTTCTGTAACTTGTTTTATAGGGGCAATTGCAGAGCAGAACTGTTTCTTTTGATGTGCAAAGGATTGCCATATCTTTATTAAATGGAAGCATTTTCACTGTAAACCCTGACAGGTTATGATAAGTTGATACAGTAGAAACTGTTTTTGAGTTTAAAAATTGAATCACAGCGAGGGATTCATCTGGGGACCATGTGTCTTGGAAATCTGTCAGAGTTAACTAATAACACCCCAACAGCCAGGCAGCTGCAGTTGAGCTACTTTATCCTGTGGGCATGTGCCTAAAGCAGTATTATGCCACCAACCACACCACTGTCCTACTCACAAGTGCCAGGATAGCTTCGAGTTTTTAACAAGATTCATATATTACTCAAATCCTTCAACCATAGCTGGCCTGAGTTATTATTCCCTTGTGTGCTATGCTGACAGAGACTGGACCTCTTTGCAATGGTTAAAACCATCCTGCTTTGTGAAACAATATGAAAAGGCCATGAAAAGACTATTTTCTCTGTTATCAGATGTTTAACAATGTATTCCTGTATCATCACTTTCTAAACTTTGCAAGTATGGCTCATATATCCAGAGAGTTGTGAAGGAGTGGAATGCATCCTTTATTCTCCAAGCGAGAAGGAAAATCAAGGAGGTCTGAGAAAAAACTACTGAGAGAGCAGCTCCTATGGGTTCTGATATTTTACTTCCTGGAGAGAGATTTGCTGTCCAGGCAGAAAATGACTAACATTACTAACAGGGTAATGAGAAACCTGTCTTCTGTCAGTACTGTCAGTAACTTTCACACAAGGATTCATGAATCACTCAGGCTTGGTGTATGACAGAAGACATATGTTGCATGTCTGCTGTGTTCTTTCAGAGTTAAGACAATAGATGGGTCTAGAAATTCATTTTTATTGTCAGAAAAATTGTTGTAATTGCTGCCCTCATTGGTTTTGCTTGTAAGTTTGCAACTGTTTAGTCCATGATTGTTCATACCGAAACTCTAAAGAATCTAAAATCCTTTTCTAGTCTTCTCATGGGCAGGCCATTTATCAAAGTCTCTGCATTGTCCTTGTACTATAACTTGCTTCTGGCTAATTTGATAAGGACTTCAGAAAGCAATTGTGTTTTGCTAATATACAAAGATATTTACACACTTCTCAAGGTTCAAGAAACAAAATAACTCTGATTGCTATTCACTGTCAGGTCAATGGTTTGCACAAACCATCTTTCCTTAACTCCCAGGAGGTTGCTGCAGGAATAGGAGTGTGGTGAGGTGGGAAAGTGTGAGAGGGTACAGTGTAAGGTTAGCAGGCTCACTCTGCAGAAGGGCCCTCACTCGTAGTAATCCCAATGTTTCGTGACCCGTGAGGCTACCACACCTGAAGTTAGCTATTTTCCATAAAAACAATCAGAACATTATAGGGATTTAGGATTCAAGTCCATTGTTGTGTGATTTGTAAACATTCAAATGGTGCTTTAGGAGTTGCTGAAGAGTGAAGGTTATTTACAAGATGTTATTAAAGTCAAGACTTAAAATCCATTTTGTTATGATTTGTCTGAATGATTAGTCAATCTTCATTTACATGCTTATTTTAAAAATAGAGATCCTAAATGTCTGGAATAATCATACAATATGTTTATCCTAGCAGGATGTAGAGAGGTGAGAGAGAACACACCGTGACATGAGAGAGGAGATGAATTTTGGACATTGCTCCAACACTGTACCATTGGGTACCCTTCTCCACCCCTGTCACCTTTCCCCTTCATTTTCTCAGTCAGTCAGATGTGAATAATTTGTCTCACATGTACCTGTCTCTAGAGTAATACAGAGAGGCAAATAAAAGCTTTCATTTGCTTTGATCTTCATGGAAGAAAAGCATTTCACAAGACTAAAATATTACAGTGGTTTTTAACTGACAGATCATGGGATCGAGTCTGGTGAAGGGTCTTAGTGAGCTGAGCTGATTAGTAAGTGAGGAACAGAGATAGGAGGAGCATTCAGATTCAGATATCATTGTATCAGGACCTATTTTTCTAGGTTATGGCTCTTGAATCATTTGTTCATAAATTCTAAGTGAGTGACATTTATGTAGAAATGTGTTTAATCTATAAATGCACATGCATATATTGTGTGTGTATATATATGCACATAGGAAAATGCATATATATGCATAGGTGAAAAGGTACATGACTTTGGTAAGTCTAGGTTTTGAATTACATGCAAAATTTGGTCTTAGACTCAATTATGTTCTGCAATAATGAAACACAACCCCAAAGTCTTAGCAACTTACAGAAAGAACATGTCCAGTGTAGGCTGGAGGAGAGCTCTGACTTTATGCTTCACCCTCACTTTAGAAACCCAGCCTGATGGAATAAGATCCATCTGAAACATTACTGGTCATAGTACCAGGGAGCAAAGAGAAGAAAACCAGATGAGTTTTAAAAATTTCCACCCATCAGTGAGACATGTAATTTCTATTAGTAATTTACTGGCCAAAACAAGTTACAAGCCCAACGCTGACTTTTAAAATGAGGTGAGCATAATCATTTCAAATGTATTACACGAGAGATATTGGCATTTGGTAAAATAATCTAGGACTTTGAAATTCTGACCTACAAACTGGGATTGTCCGTACTTTAACTTGTATTTTTAAACTTCCAACTTTTGTCTTACTGTTTTATAACAGTAGAACACTGTGTTGCTTCACATTATATCCTGGCACTAAAACAAAACAAAACAAAACAAAAAACAAAACAAAACAAAACACCACCACCACTAAAAACAACAAAAGCAAAAAATTTTCTACAAAGTTTTTGTTCAATCCATTATGGCAAATATTCAGATCTGTTTACTGGCATCCTATTAATAATAAGATGATAATGCAAATTGTGACCAGATCTCCTTTTCAAAGGAGTGTGTTAACTTTGAGGTTGGCATAATATCAATTATAATGAAAATTAATATATTCACCTAAGTTAAAAAATGCCTCTATAATATATCAAGGTTACATTGAATTGGTTAAACAACTACACATTCATGTACTAGAAAATGTTAAATCTAATCAGAAATGCTGAGAGCTTTATTATAGTTGAGACAGTTTAAAAGATAAGGATCTATCTATATTTATAAAATGAGTATGCATATATCTTTTTTATAGTTTTGGAGTAATAAATTGTTATTCATATTGCTTTATGGTGCTAATGAACTTTGTCATAAAAGAAAACTGAAATTTACTATGTTGAAATAATTGACAAAGTCATCAATTAAAAGTAGCTTCAACTAACTGGCTTCTGTTTAAAAGTGATTTGCTACATACTTTTCAAAAATCAGATGAACAATTCAGTGGATTTCCACCACAAACTAAAATAAGACAGTAAATACATAAACTAAATATAAATGGATGTGAGGGATTTTCATCTCAAAAACACATAAAGCTAGCTATAAATTATCAAGAAAATATAGCACAACCTTAGGCATAAATATGTCTTTCCAGTCAGCTTTCCAATAGCTACTACAATGGTTAGTATCAGAAAAAGAAAAATCATTTAAAATTTTTCCTCATTCATTAAGCAAAATTGAATTACTCATGACCAAAAGGTTAAGCCAAATGTGCTGTTTATTTGAATAGAATGAGTGGTTTTAAGAGTCAATTCTAAAAAATTTATATTGTTAGATATATTAATGAAATGAGTATTACAGGAAATTGTTTTAGAATTAGAAAAAAGAAGTAAAACAATTTTAATATATTATTTACTCATGTAGCTTATATTTACTAATGATGACAGGTATGGTTAATTTACAGTATATTTTCTTTGAAAGACCTATGTGCATAATACCTACAATAATGAGGCAAAGGTAAAATGTGTAGAAGATTGAAATAGATTAGTCATATTTAATCATAACAGGAGTTTCTGTGGTTGAATGTTTTCATATATTTTCTGCCTTTGGAAAGAAGCACGATGCTGTGTGACTTCCCTAAGTAATGAAGACCCCAAATTGAGCACAGCTCCGTTTTCTTTCCAGGATGGGCTCCTTCTTTGCTCCTAGCCTCCCGGGCATCAATATTCTTCGACTCCATACATCCATGTACTTCCAGTGCTGGGCCGTGATGTGTTGCAACGTTCCTGAGGCCAGGGTCTTCAAAGCTTCCAGATCAAATAATTTCTACCTGAGCATGCTGTTGCTCATCCTCTTCCTGTCCACCATGCCTGTTCTGTACATGATCGTGTCCCTCCCACCATCTTTTGATTGTGGTCCCTTCAGGTCTCTAGTTTTTGAAATTTGACTTGGGGGTAAAGGTGGGAATAGCCACTCATTGTATAATTCAACTTTTTTCAGTGACATTTTTGGTGGATAGAAATGAGATCCTTTGGCTAGTCTGGATCATTATGCTACATGGAGAATCTTAGGCAGGTTTCATCTATTTTCTCACTTGGTAATCATAAAAAGGAAATTAATTTATACTGCTCTAGGCTCTGCCAGGGTAAAATATAGACAGTGAAACTGACCTGTCTCCATATTAGGGGATAACTAAGAGCAAGATTTGAGTACACCGGTCTGGATGTGAGAGCTTTCCTAATGCTAAAACAGCATTATTTAGGTATAGTGAGCTATTCCTAATTCTCATGTGCACCACCGCCTTCAGGGGCAAGGGGAAAGTTGCTCACACATTACCTAGGAAGTGGATGGAATCAGTATTAAATAATGAGTATGAAGAGGGTCACACAATTTGTTATATGAAATGCTACATGTTGGTAAAAAGACAAGTATGTTTCTTCTGTATATTTACCCCAAATATCCCTCAGGCCAGCAATCAAAATTCAAGAAGACTCTGATGTGAGTTAAAGTTGTGCTTTTCTACAGTTCTCTGTTCCAGAGTTCTCTTTTTGACACATATCAAAATTAAAGTCCCTAGGAGCTGGAAGATGGAATTTCCTTCCTTGAAATCCCTCAGAAACTAATCTTTCACCCCACCCTTACAAGAATTTCTCGATGTTGGTTTACTGGCCAGTGGGAATTTAGGGGGAAGGAAATGAAAGCACCATGAAGGACAAACATGATGCTATAATGGCCACATGTAATTTCCCCTTCATGGTGTCAGATCCATGTTGTTTAATTGAAGTCAGAATATTTGTTTTAAAAATGTTTGTTGCCCACAGACTAAGTATAAAGAACTATTTTCATTCTAACGATAGCCTGAGTTACCGTTTTACTAGAAAAGAAAGAAAATATCGAGCCAGAAGATCCAAACTGGCTGTTGTTCTGTCAGACTTAGGACATTAATATTCACAAGCCCTCTTCCTATGTGTGCGCACATGCACGCACGCATTTCCAAGTAGGCTGAAATAAATAATGCAGACAGTGACATCTGGAGACTAAATATGAAATTACAGTCTTGAAGGAGACATTCACTTAATAAATCCCTAATCTCAGACCACAGATTGCAAGATGTATGCCATTCAGTCTTGGTTAACTGCAAATTACCTGCACAGCTTAATATCCAGGATAAATTTTAAGGGTATTTTTAGTGTTTCTATTGGAAGTTGATTTATCTCAGGAAAAGATAAAAAGGACCTTATCAGTCTGAAAGAGAAATCACACGATGTAAACATGGACCCGCATGGTTACACAGGTGCATTCATATTGAAAGTACCACTGAGTTAGACATGTACAAGGATTGCACAATTTGGCCTGTTTGAGCTCTCTCTCCTCTGCTTTCACTATGTCATACACTGGGTTATTCTGATTTGTACTGAAAAAAATGGTAGTTTGTAACTAAGGCATATTATCTATCAGAGCTTGACCAAGAGTTTCCTAATTGGAAAACTTGGGAAAAATTACTACATAAATATCACTACTTCGATCAAAGAAATTTAAATATTTTCCGAGGAGTACTGGGAAACGACTGTAACTGGACTACTCAGGACAGCTTCTTTGCCATCCTCAGGGATTCTGAGTTTGAGATGTTTACTTTGCCTGCCTAGTGAAAGTTGCCTGACCATTCTGGCTCTAGTGTAGGCAGCAAACTTGAATTTGAAGTAGGTTAATGGAGACATTGCAGTGGTGACCAGGTATTCTCAGGTACAGGTGTGTTTTCAAGTAAAGTGATACTGTCCATTTACCCATTCAGAAAGGGCATTTGATGAGATGTTCTAGTATTTTCTGGTTTTATAAGACCTAGCTAGTGAGGATGAATTTTCAAGAAAATTCTCCCAATAGCTACTAAATGGACTTATTTTAAAATCATAGGACAGTTTAAAAGCAGTTTTTCTTGATGTCCAGATAAAGACAATTCTTTTAACAGTTCTATCATATTTCCTGAAACTTGATGTTCCAGACAATTATTCTAATTGTTCATCATATTTCCCAAAACTTGATGACCCCCACCATGTGTGCCAATAATTCTGTACAGATTGTGGTTCTCAGAAGCCCCTTGATTACATTATGGCAATTTTATTTTTAATGTGTTTTCATTTAATGTATTTCATTTCATAATGGTATGTAATTATCTTAGATAATCTGGAAATTTTTGAAACATTTTAACATTAAAGCAAAGACTGCCCATCATCTCAGAGACAAGATATAATGATTCTCAACCTTTTGGCATTATGTCTTTGTATTTTTCTTTAAGTAGATTTTTAAATAAGTAAGACCATGAACTAGGTATGGGTTTATATTTGGGGTCACTTTTTGTTGAAAGAGAGTATTAGAACTGAAAGAAAAAAAATCTGACCTGAGATTGAGAGGTTCATTCAGTGGTTGAAAATATTTGCAGATTAACAGATAAAAGCAAGACTAAATATTATTGTTTATTACAACTTTTAATCTGAAGATACATACAATTTGTTGAAACAGAACTCCTTGTAGAATAAGAATTTATATACAGAAAAAGAAAACTTGGCACAGGAATATTTCATTACACTTCTAGATATTCTTTGCCAAGTTAAAACATCCTGCTCTCATTTTTCTAGTTCATTAGAGTTGATTCTCCTATAAACTGGATGGCTCGTAGTGGCTGTTCTTTAGGGCTCTTCAGCAGAGGAATGAATGCAGGGAAAGGGCTCATCACTCAGTGTGGTTCTCTGATGAAGGAGGCCTGGTGGAAAAGGAGATGAAAGCTGCAGTGTGGAAAGAGATATTGGATTATTTGTGAATTTCATTCCACTAGGGTATTTCTTGAGCTCATTTCCTAAGTCAATTAAAAGTCGAATGTACTGTGTACTCAGCCCAAAGAGCGCATTTCCGAAAGAGAACAGCTGGTTTAGGGCCAAACTTATGAGCTACTTAAAACTACATTTGAATCAAATTCTTAGAAATACAGTGTTAAAAAACTCCAAATGCTATGGTTAATTTCCTAACTTCACTGACCCTGTGTGTGTTTGTGTGTGTGTGTGCGTGCACGTGTATGTGTGTGTATGCTAGGATAACTTTTCTCATATAATATTGTATTCACATGTTGACAACATAGAGCAAAGTATCAGAAGACATAGCTAACTATCAGATTCCTAACCTGCAAGGATACCTAGATAGTACTGTATATGAGAACTAGTTCTAGTTTTCCTGCAGTAAGCAGAATTTCCATTTGTTTTAAATATATTTTTCTCTCTTTTTTTCCTCCCAGTGGCAAAAACAGAATGTTTGAAGTAATCGGTGAGACTTTGGAACATGATTTCCCAAGCTGGATGGCAAAGATTTTAAGACAGCTCTCTAACCCTGGGCTGGTCATTGCTGTCGTTTTGGTGATGGCGTATGTGTTTCTCCTTCTCTTAGAAGGAGCCTTTATAATTTGCTTCCTGGCTCCTTAGTTTCTGCCTTTCAGCTCTCTCCCTCTCCCATGGTTGTGCTCTAACCGAACCAAATTCAGCTCTGATTACATGGTGGTGGGAGCTAAAATTTATGAGCCATATTTTGATCCTATTGGATGTAATTCACAGCCATCTGCATCTGTCTTGCCTCCCCAGGATTATAAGATTTGTTCCCAAGTAACCAAAATAATTATCAGTAAACAGCTAAAGCAAGAGAAACATAAATGCCAAATCTAATCAGCACACTGAGATTCCCTCCACAACACATCCCCCACCTCTTGTTCCATAAAGCAGATGGTTGTGAATATAGAGAAATGATGGTTCTCTAAGGTAATAGTCCCTTGGGGGCCTTGTTGATTATATTTTAAGACTAAATGCTTGTAGGCATGTCCACTTTGTGGCCTGTGGGTTTGACAGGTCTGGCTCTTCTTGGGCTGTATTGAATGAAAAGGAATTATCTTAGCCCTAATATAAAATTCATAGCTGTAATTAATGTATGTTAGTAACAAAGCTTCGTAAGTTGGACACACCTGCAAGGGGTCTTAAGAATTGCCCTGTCTGTTTTTAGAAAGCTGCCAATAACTATTGTTCATTCTAAGAGAATCAGAGCTCTGGAGGGGCTTGGAAAGGTACCTTAGTCCATGCCCTTGAAATCAGAAGGGATTTCCAAAAAAGAACTTGATGGATTCTTTTGTTCTCATATGACTTCCATTGACTTCTGATTCTCGGCCACAACAGGTAAACTCACAATCTAAGTAAAAATACATGCTTGCTATGAAACAGCCTCGACAAGTGGTCTTCCTCTCAACCTCTCAGCCCCAGCAAATAGGAAGTCTGTCAGCCATGAGGGGAAGGTAATAAGCCACCTCCAGGGGCCAGTTATGAACATGATGTAAAGGGTTGGATTTGTTCCATAAAGGTAAAATGAGGAAATCTGAGGAAGGAAATGCCCACTCGTATGAAGTAAACAAGCTGGGATTCTGAACTAGATATTGTCCATATTGGCATGGGCCCTGGGATGGTCCAAAGCTACACAAGATGGTGAGGGCAGGGTCATATTCTTCATTTTCATAAATGAAGAAACAATTTAGAGTTATAATCTTCCCTAAGAGACAAAGGTTTTAACTGGGTGATAGCAGGACTTAAAGCAAACCTCTTTCCAGAAAATCCAATGCTCACTGCTTTACAACATGATTCCTTCTGTGAGGTAGAGCTAATAACCACAGGGATGATTACACACTGAAACAGATTACTATTATGTGTTACTGAACCTTGATCATGGGGTGGTATTGAGAAACTGATAGTAACTCTTTGGCACAGATGTATTAGAAAATAACCTGCTGGAGACAGCTTGTTTCACCAGATGGCCCTTGAAGAGATTTTCTTTCTCTGCATTTTTCCTGATACAGTGGCTTCAGAAAGCATGTTAATAACTATCATGTGGGTTTAGATAGTCAAGGCCCTTCACTTGCATAAATGAGATCATGTTTAAAGCACATACACACATACACACACACACACACACACACACACACACAAGCACGCAATTTAAAGGTCTGATTTTAATACAATATCCTTAATCTATTGAGATACAGATTTGGTTTTTAAAAAAGGAGTAAGATCATTTGGATACCACTCCCTGAAGATGTAATACACAATCTCTAGAATGTGGGGAAGGAATGAATTGTGCCATTGTTCTAGACACTGATCACACATGGACTCATTTATTTGCACAATATTCTCAAGAAGTAGGTTTGGTTAATCATATTATCAACAGCATATGGAAAATCTGCCCCAAATCAGGTGGCTGATAAGTGAAATGAAAACGGATGTCTTCCTACCCCTGCTTCCTACTTCTTCCATTTATTTGTACCATTAAACAGAGTTTGGGATCTGTGGGAATGTCGGAAGGGCTGGGACCATTTGTGAAGGATGCCCTAAACCCAAGGCATGTTTTTCTTAAAAGCCCAGACATAGGCCAAGAGACAAAATTTAGGATTTCACATAAATGCTTATATAAACATTTGAAACTGTAAAAAACTATTCTGAGTTCATTAGCTACACAAAATAGTCTGGGAACTGAATTTAGCCTGGAGGCCATGGTTTGATAACATTTGATATGGACAGCTCAGAAGAAAGCTGGCAGCATGTAAGGGTCGAACAGATATCCAGAAAGATTGATTTTAGCTCTGAGGTTTTGATATAAAATTCAAATTTCAGTTTATTACTGATTTGAATTTTTTCAAATCCTGAGGTCTCATCTTCCACTTTATGAAGCCCATACACTCAGCTTGGCTTTTTATTATCTTTAATTGGAGAATGTTACATGCATTTGAATTTCCCCAACGGATCACATTAAATCTGTGTGAGTGGTTTTAGGGTAACTGAGCAGAATTCAGGTTAGTTCCCTGTAGGCAGGGTTGTTCCGTTGGAGACCAGGATGTGATTGGTAAGGAAGACTCACTGAAGGTGCCTTCCAACATGTGAAGAAAGTGATGGATAAACAGAATCCCAGAAGTGCAAATTACTCTGAGATCTTTGAATTCACCTCTCTCAAACCAGGAACTTTTCCAAGAAAATTCTTACAATACACATACACACCTGTACACACACATACACATTTATTGAATGCCTATTTCATGCCAAACATTATCCCCAACAGTCTCACGTGTGTAATTTCAGTCAAACTCTGATTAATCATAGAAGAGATAAACAGACCCAGCTACACCATATCAATAATTGTTCTGCTAGCACCAGATGGCTCATAGGGGATATTATCTGGCATGTTGGTGAGCAGAAGAAATGTGTTCACTATTAGGTTATTTGGAACAAAGAACAATATCAGTCACTTACTTTTTTTTGCTCAATTTTTTATTTTGTTCATTTTGCCTTAACAGAAGATGAACATGTTTATTTTTGTAGAATTGTTGGTTTGGATTTTGTTCTTCCTATAAACATAAATGCCACTTAAAATCCCAAATTATACCTTTATAAAACATTTTCTCCTGGAAGGAGGAGGAAATGCAAAAAACAGATTTTAGAAAAAGAAAAACAAATCTCCATGTTAGTTAACCAGGCCTTTGAAGATTGCATTCTTAGCTGTAAAGGCTGAAGGAGGCAAAAAGTAATTTTTTCTTTTTGTTCTTCATATTTCCCATACTTTAGTAGATTTTCCATTTTCTTGGGTGTCATTGCCATTAATTTAAAATATTGCTTTTAATTATAATTTAAATTGAATTTAATACATATCCAGGAAAAAGCTAATTGAGGCAGCGTGGGACAGTAACTAGAGCTCCATGCTGTGGATAAGGAGCCTCTGGCCCAGCTTTCCGGCTTTGTCCTGTTTCCATGTAATCCTGAGTGGACCTCTTTACCTTTCTTAGCTTCAGCTTTTGGCTAAGAAGTTTTGAGTAGGAAAATGTCTTAATGTCCACTCTCATGTTAACATTCATGATTTAGTTACTGTAAGTATAAGAAGAATCCTGAGGAACTAAAATTGCCATGAATTTTATTATTTTTTTTTATGTTTAGATTGACCATCTATTATCTTAATGCTACTGCCAAGGGCCAGAAGGCAGCAAATCTGGATCTAAAAAAGAAGATGAAAATGGTAGGATGCAGTTTACTTCAAGGAAACATTGTCTTGATCAACATCCCAGGAAATCTAATTTTCTTTTTTCTTTTGTATTGTACAGCAAGCTTTGGAGAACAAAATGCGAAATAAGAAGATGACAGCTGCACGAGCAGGTTAGAGCTCTGTTTCAGTTTTTATTTTCCTACTCACAGTGTGGTTTTCCTTTTTGTTTTTTTTTTCTCCAAATGGGGCATCTGATGGCAAGTGTGATGATTGCAAGTCACACCACAGCCCTCACCGTCCATCTCTTTGATTCTTCTCACGCATCCCCCAGGGGGGTTGTTTGTTTTCTAGTGGAAGAAGAAAAAGAAGGAAAAATTCAGGAATGTGAACTTAGCAGTAATGAGTTTTAAAAAGTGACTTTGAAAATTGACAGATCGACAGAAAATGATGAAAACAACCCTCTAGTTATATACAAGTAATGAGTACAACCAGGTCTCATTTTGACTTCTTTTATGCGTGGAAGCAAATGTAGAGATCCCAAAAGGATGCTCCTTTGACCTCACCACCATTCCTTGCCCGGTGCCATTTGGAATCCATTATCCTTACTTTCTAAAATCTTCTTAATTTTAAAAATGCAGTTAGCCCTTTACTTGCAGAGGATTCCTCACTACAGATTCAACCAACCAACTCTGTACTAAAAACATTTGTAAAAAACCAGTGTGATTCCATTAAACACATTCAGACTCATTTTTCCTGTCATTATTCCCTAAGCAATACAGTAGTAGAACTATTCACATAGGTTCTACATTAGATATTGTGAGTAATCCACTGATGACTTAACGCGCATGGGAGGAAGTATGTTGGTTATATGCAGATACTACATCATTTTGCATAAGAGATTACAGCATTCTCAGACTTGTGTAACCATGAGAAGGTGAGGAGAGCCAGGAACCAATCCCTTACAGATACTGAGAGGTGACTCTATTTGAATTAAGCAGATTCCTACTTGCTAAATTAATGATGTGCCTTGGGTCCCCCATGGAAAAGTGATACCTAAAATCTTTAGTGAAAGTCTTTTCTAACTTTTCCATCATTCCTAACTTTAACCATCTTTGTATTAGCAGATTTTTTCCTTCTATGTAAATAATTTTAAAAAATTCAACTAAAACTGGTTTAATTTAAAATAGAGAAAGGTATTGCTGTACACAAATGAACAGGGTAGTGGTCTGTATGGCTTCAGGTCACTATTATCCCTAAGTTTAGAATGTGCTTGTAGCTGAGTCCATTTCTTTGTGAGTCTCCCAAGACTAATCTGTGGGCCTGTATTGGCAGCAGGAATGGATGCAGCCACTTCCAAGGCCATGACCTTAGATCATAATTCCCAAAGGAAATCTGAATGTGATTTTAAGTAGCCCCTGGGAAAAGTAAGAGAACTTTTCTGGAAATTCCCCAGTGTCTTCTCCTTGGATCAACCCCATATGGGTCATGTAGCCATGTCTCAACCACGCACTGTTCTGGGAGAGAGCATGGTAGGTTGTGGAAGACAGTCAGGACGGGCTTGGAACAGGGCTATGTCAGATTCTCTGAAGTTCATGGAATGCACTGGGGAGGGTACATCTGCTTATGAAAAGAGAAAAGGGTGCTAGGTGACCCTAAACAATATATGTTCAAGACCTTGTTTTGTTGCCTTCTGTATGCTTAGCCTTTAAAATATATTTTCCTACCCAGAATGCAGAAGTGTAAAGTTAATTGCTAGGTGCTGAATTGGGTGATTACAGTGATTTACAGTTATCAGAATACTCTTTTCAAAAAATCATTTTATTTTTTGTCAATTCTACATGTGTACACAGTTTAGCATTATATAATTCTATGAAGTTTATTATGGAAAAATAGCGTCTTTTTTCTCTCTTCCTGCCTACTCATACTCAACGACCCAAAGACAAACTCTTTTAACTCTCTTGGTAGACTGCTTAAGTATTTATCTCTAAATTGCATTTTTGTTGCAATTTCTAACTTTTATTATCAATTAATTATTAACTACAATAGAGATAATAATTTGGCTCTTTTTCATACCCAATCTCTCTGTACATTGTGCCATACAATTATATCATTATTTTTGTTAGGACAATATATATATATATTTTTTGGTACCGGAGATCAAACTCGGGACTTCCTGCTTGCAAGGCAGGCGGCAGAACCACTGAGCTAAATCCCCAGCCCAGGACAATATGTTTTATTATCGACATTTTCATGGTTGAAGTAGGTAGTACATTTTGAATTTCACATACTTATTATATTTTTAAGAATCATAATTGTCTATTTAAAATTTTTATTATTTTTCTATTTATCAACAATTCAATCTCTAAGTCTCTGTGTGTATTGACTTACACTTTTAATATGTTCATACATATTGGTTATCTCATCCATTTCCTTTCATTGGAGAAATGCTTCCCAGACTCTTCTGAACTTTTCCAGTCTCAACTGGCTCCCCTTTTACCTTTGGTACAGCTGTGATTCCTGATTTCCTTTATTGCTGTTCAGCAGGATCTCTATCCCTCTATTCTGTCCTTAATATCTTAGCTTCCATTTTCTCCACCTTCTTTCTTGGTTTGTTCACATGTTTATGACAAGAAAGAGCAGAACTAGAAAATGCCCAACTAATAAAAATAATATTCTTTCAGAATAAATTGCTTCAGACATTTCCCATTGCATTCTAGATTTCAGAATTGCTGTCAGGAAGTCTGAAGCTATTTTGATTCTCAGTCTTGAGTGGTTTGTAGTTTTGATAGTCTGTTCTATCTATGTAGAAAGTCGTAGGATCTACTTTTTATCTCTAGTGTTCTGAATTTCATGATGTTTTATTTTCTGTGGATTTACTTTTTATTGCCTATGTGTTCATCAGTAGGCCTTTTTGTTTTTGGAAATTTATGGTTTTTAGTTGCATAGAATTCTCTGGAACCAATTTGTTATCAAATTAGTGCTGAAAATGATGAGTTGAAAATTCTGCCTTCTAAGATCTGAATTCTAGTTAAGGTTTATTGTTACTTTTATGGTTTTAAATCATAGTATAGTATAGAAAAGAAAGGAAAAGAAAAATACGAGAAAAGGAAAAAAATGGAAACCAAGTGTAAATAGGGAAGTGTGGAGGGGGTGAAGGGAGGGCAGGGGAATGGGGAAAAAATAAGAACCAAGATAAATCACGTAAAGGTACAAGATCCCAATGATGAATGTAACTGTATTGTATGCCTAAAATGTACCAATAAACTTAATGAAAAAAAATGATGAGTATAATGCTATACTGTGTTACTTACCGCTAAGCACCTTGAAAACCAAATTGTTGTTTGACTCTTCTTCATTTTTCTTTGCCTCTCTCTCTCTTCTTTTGAAAACAGCTGCAGCTGGTGGACAGTAACTTTCACAGATGTCCTGGAGGCCCTGAAGTACCCCTTCCCTCCCTGGTTTAAAGTAATACCCCGTGTGAAGTCTCAGAGAACAAGCATTGGGGAAGGGCTGTTCTCCTGTACTACTCCGGATGGATTATCAGGGTGGTACTTATCAATTAAGGCACTGTTAGTCCTCCCTGGGCAAGAAAGATCTCCATCTTCCTCCAAATTAAAGATTTCTTCTTGCACTCCCATTTTCTCTTCTGTCCTATTTCACTGACATTTTTCCTAACAAGTTGAGTTTAAAAGTGGTTGTGATCCAGTGATATAATTTGGATTTTTATAGCACCTAATTACCCTCATAATTTAAATTAAACATTTGTAAAATCTTTAATCTTTTCTGTTTCCAGAGGGCTTTAAAAATATTTCCGCTTTATTACATTGACAAGGACCTAAGATAGTGACTGGACATAATTGGTGAGTTAATTTTTTTTTTTTTTGGTACCGGGGATTGAACTCGGGTCCTTGTGCTTTCGAGGCAGGCGCTGCAACCACTGAGCTAAATCCCCGGCTAGTGAGTTAATTTTTTAAAAATTCACTTACATGGACTTTCATTGCATATGTTTGTTTTAGTTTATTTTTCTTGAATTGGGAGTAGGAATATATTACCCTTTCCTCTAAGTTCAGAAATATTTACATGAAATACTCATAATCATTCATTAACTCACTTTTTTTTCTATCTGTGTCCCTACTCATGGCCCCCCAAATATATATCCAAGATATTTTTATTTGACACTGTATTCAATATGAAAAAGAATAGACTTTTAAAACGAAAAATCTTATGAGAGTTGGGGCATGCTAAATGCTGGCTTAAAGGTTTTTGAGGGAGTATGTGGGTCTTAGACTCCTGGTGGATTCTCTGTGAGTTTAAAAATGAAAGAGAAAAAAAGAAAGAAAGAAAAAGACGCTGTGACTGCTGTCGCGTCACAGACTATCCTTTTGGCCTCCAATGATTATATTTCCTGAGTTTAGATTTTAGTAGTCTAATTTATCTTTGCATTTTTTTTGGTAAAGAATAGAAAGATATTCTTTTATTGGCATCCTTAGTTCATAGATGTGTTTAAGGATTGTTAAAATTTGAATTGACTTTGACTAGTAGCACCCAGTGCCCCCTCATCTTTCGGTGTGACTTCACTTGCATTTCATAACTCACAGTGGCCCTTTCCAGAGCAAGGCCGATTTGCCTGCCATTCCCAGAACTGACCTGATTTTTATCTTTAATTTCTCCTTTTCACTCTTACTGGCCGTAGAATGACCAAACTGTTCCCCTGCCAATTCTAGACTTACTTTTTCTGGTTACCTTGTCCAAATTAATGTCTCTTCCTAATCTCATCATTTGCTTCCCTGTATTTTTATGTCTTTAATTTAGAATGTATTATTTTTATTGATTTAAATGTAGTTTGTAAAACTTCTTTATTGTTTCTTATATGCATGGATCTTCTTTCCTATTCAGATTGTGAGCTCCCTATGAGCAGTAATCATATCTCCTAATTCTTTTATGTGCCTAGTATAGTGCCGTGCACAGGTAGGCAATGAATAAATGCTTGTTAATTAAATTGAATCAATTTAAGTTACAGCAGTTGCAGTATGAAGCAAAAACTTCTGTTACTGAATGAAAAAAATGTCACCATGATGTAAGAAATGGGTTATCTGTGGATATGCTCTTTATTATCTCATTAGGTTGTAATGCAGAAGATTAAATAAAGTTAATACTTATTTCTATCAACTTGGATCATTTTTGTACTGTGTGGTAATAAGATTAGGGGATTAATTTATTGTTTTGCCAAATTTACAGTGTGGATGACATCTCTTGCTCTTGATCTACTTCATATGGGTAATGAGAGATGACAAACTGTCTCTAAAGGGCCAGGGATTTAGCTCAGTGGTGCTGCAGCCTGCCTCGCAAGTGCAAGGTCCCGAGTTCGATCCCCGGTACCCCCCCCCAAAAAAAGTGCTCACCTTGGCAGCACATATACTAAAGGCATTCATCTCCCAAAGACATGTACATTTAGAATGAATGTTATAAATATTCAGACACGATAGATAAAATTTTGATTTGTCTGTAAATTGAAAAATAATTTGGATTTTTATAGCACCTAATTATCCTCATGATTCACATTAAACATTTGTAAAATATTTAATCTTTTCAGTCTCCAGAGGGCTTTAAAAATATTTCTACCTTATTACATTGACAAGATCTAAGATAGTGACTGCTACAACCAAAGAGTCTTACATGGGGGTAATCAGATTCCCAAGGCTTGTTTCTATGTTGTTCTTTACATATCTAATAATTAAAACCATACAGAAAATTCAGAAGGCAAACAAAAATCTAGATTGCACCTTTTATTATTTTTGAGAGGAATAAAAAAGCTCTGACAAGTATATTCAAACAATCTTTACCATTTACTTGGAAGATTTTTTAAAAACTGCACTTAAATATATTCTTTGAACTATTTCCTTTGGCTGCTGAGAAGAACACGTAGTTTAAGCCAGATTTATAGCAACAAAACTTTAACCTAAACTACTTTATATTTTTTTATTTGGTATATCCCTTCAAGTTCAAGGATCAGAAATACATACCCAAGAGTTAGTAAGTAGGGATTCAAAACTGAGCGACATAGAAAAGGGACTGGCAAATATCTTAGCTTTCAATGCACATGTGCATTTGAATTTTTAGTAGAGGCATTGAGGCCTAACCATAGTTTAAAAATACAAAAGCAAAAGCTATAGTCTTTGTTTGAGTTCCATCTACTTTTGGCAGAAAAGAAATGTTATGTGACAGTATCAGGAGTCCTTAAGTTCATACATGAGATTCTTTTTCTGACAGTTTTGTTGAAATGCATTAGCTTGGCCACTGGATCTTGAATGGTCCAGGTGTCTTTTCCAGAACTGGTCTTGATGACTCAGTAGGTATGAGTAATGGAAAAGTGTGTCCATGAAGCCCTTGGTGGTATCACCAAGCAGTACACGTACAAATCTTCATAGCTTTCAAAAAATTCATAACAGTCATGTAAGTTCATTATAGCAAATTTGAGAAATTTTAATAGATTAAAAGCATAAGAGAAACCTCATAATTACATCACTCAAAATAACATCTATTTTTACATTTTGGTGTGTTTTTCAGATTTGTAATCATGCAAACATAGATTCAATAAAATAGTTTGGAATGCAAGACATCTAGTTGTATGCTACTTTTTCATTTAATATTTTCCAATGCCATAGATATTACTTCAAGACATTTTCAATGACTATTTAAATTTATGTTTAAATAAAATGTTACTTTAATATTACTATCACAATTTGTTTAACCATTCTACTGCTGTACATTTAAATATTAAATTTCAATCTGGATCCTCTTAGAATACATTTTTGTGTGAAACCATTAATTATGACTATAGACTTTTAAATCAATATATTTGCATTTCTAAAGGCAGTCTTGGTCAACTTAATGATACAATATATTATTTTCTTTTACTTGCATTGTATTTCCTATTTCATAGCAATGATCCTTAGAAGTCACCAAATTTTTCTCTTGATTCTGTTTCACTTGTAGCTACATATAAATCTCCTTTGAGGTACTATCTTATTTGTTTTAAAGAGCTTTATATTTAAGAAAAACAATATCTTTTTTTTTGGCAGGCAAATTTCACATATTGCTTCAAATTAAATATTTTTTGAGATTTGATAACCAATCCAAAATGCCATGTGGAAAATTGACTTTTTTCTTATTTTATTTTATTTTATTTATGAAAGTTTTGGTTATAGTATATTTATTCTTTTCTCCAAATGAAATATTTATGTCAATTCTCCAAATAAAAGAAAGCAGAGTCCTGATTTTTCTTATGAGATTTTTTTCTTGTGTTGGTGCTGTTCATGAAGGCTATGTTTCTCAGGTTACTGTTATGAGTCAAAAGAAAACCTCAGATATATAATCCTGGCTTCTTATTCATCAGGGTAGGATACAAGTCAAATTCATTCTGGGTCACTTACTTTGTATTATATTGAAAGAAATGGAATGTCTTAAATTCAAATGAAGCCATAAAATAATTCATAATGTAGTAAATCAATGATTGGTCATGTGAAGTAGATCATGAGATATCCCAGTATATCCAGCTTTGATTCATAGGATGATGTAGGCTCTAAAAGTTCTGACTAATTAGAAATTTTTCCAAAAATTTTAAGGGAAATATATCATCCTAAAAGCAGATTAGAATATCCATACTCTCTATAAAACCCTAAAATTGTAATCCTCCATGAATCATCTGAGAATAAGTGATCAGGTTCATCAATTGCTTGCTAATTATTAACACTGTTACTGATTTTTTAAAATAAATTTTATTTTATTTTATCCCATTCCTCCCTCTTAAGCCTTCTCCCTCCCTATGTACAAAAGCTTTGTTTCCATTTTTTCCTTCTATTTTCAATTTTTTCTTGTCCCTTCTTTCCTTTCTCTCTTCCTCTTCCCTTATTCCCCTTCCCATTGAATACTTTCTTCCCATTTCCTAACATCCATTATACATCTCAGTCCTTATTTCCACATTCGGTTTCTCATGCCAGAGAAACAATGTGGTATTTAAACACGTGTGTCTAATTTATTTCACTTAAGAGTATGGTCTCAAGATCCATCCATCTAGCTATAGATGTCTGAAGCCGATCCTCCTTTATGGCAGAGTAGTACTCCATTGTCTAAAAAACCACATCTTTATCCACTGGTCAACTGATGGGCATTTGGGCTGTTTCCAAGATTTAACTATTACAAACTGTGCTGCTACAAACATGGATGTGCATATATCATGGTGTCTTTAATTCTTTCTGGAAAATACCAAGAAGAGGTATAGCTAGATCAAATAGAATCTCTAGTTTTAGTTTTTTGAGAAATCTCCACACTGATTTCCACAGTGGTATACACTTCCACCAATAATGGAGAAAAGTTTCTTTTGCTCCCCACAACCCCTCCAGCATTTGTAATTGGTTGATTTTTTTTCCCCATTCCTAGCCCTCCCTTCACCTCCTCCACCCTTCCCTATTTACAAAGACTTTATTTCCATTTCTCATCATTTTTCCTTTCCCTTCTTTCCTTTCCCCTGCCCGTCCCACTACCCCTACCCCTTTGGAGCTTTTCTTCCTATTTTACATTGTCAATTATTAATTCTAATCATTGGTACATTTTAGGTATAAAATATAATGACATTCATTGATCACAATTTGCACCTTTACATAATCTCTCTTGGTTCTTATTTTTCACCCTTGCCCAGTCCTCCCTTCAACCCCTCCATTCCTCCCTATTTACAAAGATTTTGTTCCTATTTTTCCATTTTCTCATATTCATTCCATACT